CAGAGCTGAACTGCGGTATCACTGTGGCTTGAAACTGACTGCTGGGGCCCAGTCCAGTGAACTATGTGGTAGGTCATTAGCCTTTTGGTTTTGGATTAATATTACACACAGTTTCTACTACATATAACTAGTTGCCAAAGTGCTACTCAAAAGTGTATTTATGGAGTACCTATACTAAAACTTGCAGCAGTTTCAAAAAAATAAAATAAAATAATATGCATCATTTCTGAATGAACTTAAATCCATACGTTCTATATGTGAATGGCTACAGATGTGTTTAATTTCGAAGTTATTGTTTTCAAAATTTGCTCCTCACTTTCATGTGCTCAGGGAGAGCAGGGTCTGACAGAAAAGGAAGAGAGACCTACCAAATTCATAAATTTTCCATATATAGAATCTAATTATTGGGGCATCATCTTGTTATCTTTTATTCAAGTAAGTACGGTAGTTCTCATACTGTGGGATAGGCAGATACAAAAACAGTTACTGCACAGTGTAGGAAGATTCCTCCCCTACTTGCCTTGGAGTAATTTTTCTGTCTGGCCCTACCATTCTTTTTTTTTTTCCCCCCCAAAGGTTTGTCCAATCTGTTTCATTCTTGATGCTTAATAAGTAGTTATTTAATTGTATGAATGTGGGCAATATGAATCTTCCTTAAATAAGAGCTTCAGGAGAGTCCTAAAAAAGCCAGCACATTTCATAATGGTCTTGTTAATATGTGGATGAAGCTCCACATTGGTGCTCTACAATTTTAAATACAAGATAGACAGGGCCCTCAAATGATCAGCAGAAGGTATTTGGGACCTAGTGGAACAAGCTCTGACCTTGTTAACTCCTAGAGGCCCACAGACTGTCTTAAGGAGTCTGCAAAAGATGATTTCTCAATCAAAAGTGTGTGATTTAGGGGTACACCAATATATCGATTTGGCACTGATAAAAGTGATACCGTGTTGGCTTTTTTAGTCGTAGCTGAAAATTACGGCTGTGTACCAAGAGCACCCTGGTGAGCATGGTCTGATCCCTGTGCCATGCTGCCAGTTGCAGCACATGGTAGACTACAGGTCCTGGTGAGCAGCAGAAGTGGGAGGGGTGCCAGGGAGCAGTCACAGGGGCTGCACTCAGCAGCAAAGGGTTTGTTATAGGCTTCTGCTACTGCTGTCATGGCAATGCTGCACGCACAGCATGGACTTGAATGCTGGGGCTGCCGCAGAGACTTTAGTCTGTGCACAGTTGGAGTAAGGTGCCACACAAGGGACGTTTTGCAAAAGCTTCTCCCCGGTGGCTGCAGGAACTTGGCTGTGCTGGGTCCACGAACACTAAGACAGTAGCATGTTCTGGAGCTCCAAACGCATCTGGCACTGCTGTCTGTGCAAGGGTCTGCCCCACCCACTTGGGATGGGAGCATGGGTCGTATGGGGAGCAGGGTTGTGGGTAGGAGCCATGGGTGAGGGGACAATATGCATGGGAATAAGGCAGTCACTGCCTTCCTCATTGAGGGCCAGAGCAGGCAGGAGGCGTGTATCAATAGTTTAAAATGCCTTGCATTATTTCTACATATCGGTTATCGGATCAGCATTGGCCGATTATAGTTGGTTAATCATCGGATATTGGTATCAGCCAAGATGACCTTTATTGGTGCAGCCCTAATTTGAATACCCACACTTACTATTCAAAGGGGTGCTTGCCTCCACTTGAAACTTTTTGGGGTCCGCGAATGAAAAAAGGTGGAAATTGGGGAAAAATCCTAGATCAGTGTTTCTTACCCCTTTTGTGTGAGCTGAGTGTCAACAACAGGATTTTCTTAAATGATTAATCTTTCAGCCAGAAAATACATTTTGTAACAAAGAAATAAACATGTCTCCTTTCCCCTCTTACACAGACACTTTCTCCTTTGACTGTTTGTATAGAATAATGGTGGTTGAGTAGCTGTTTTTATGAAACTAGCTAATTGGTTCTAGCTCTGAGTCCTTGGTTAAGGTCAGTGCTGCTTTTAACAGTTTTTTTTTTATTCACCATTGCTAAAATAGATGAGATGTAACAATGATTCATTAAGTACTTTTTAATAGTTTTAAGTGGGCAGCATAACAGAACTAACATTTTTTTTTAAACAATACGTAGGAAAAAAGTAATGTGTCATATTTGTCCACTTTGAAGCTTTTTCTGCCAATTGTTTAAGAGATGTTTTTTTTATTTGACCTATCGTATATGTTAGTGTTACATAACATGCTTATGGATAGTCATTGTACAAACACATTGATTAAAGAACGTTGCTGTTTGTCAGACCTTCAGATCTTTGATCTGGTTTTATAACAGTATAAAAAGGCAATTTGTACTTGCAAGATCAGTATGCAGTTTTTAAAGACATGCCATTTTTTCCTGTCAAAGATAAGTATATTGTTCTGTTATTGTAGTATGAGTGCTTCAGTATCTGAATTTTATCTTCATAACACCCTTGTGCAATGGAGAAGTGCTTTTATCTCCATTTTACAGCTAGGGAACTAGAACAGTTGTTTTTTTTTTTTTGTTTTGTTTTTTGTTTTGTTTTTTGTTTTTTAAGTGACTTGCCCAAGTATGTCTGGCAGAGCAAAGAAACTGAATCCATATCTCCTGAGCCTCAGACTGATGTCTAAGCTAGGACTATTCTTCCTGAAATAGCTGAGCAATAGTGACTATTTTGTGCACAATATATAGATACATTGTAAGGGAGAACATTATGTGCTTTCAGGGCATTAAGGAGTTGAATTGAAAGACTTTAAAGCCACAGAATTGCATGAAATATCACCTGTGCTTCTACTTTTTGGACTTGGAAACAACAAAAAAAAGGTTCAGATGTGACCTTGCCCAACATAACGCTACTTGATCAGACGGCTAGATCGGTGGTTTATAATGTTATGGAAAAATCTTCACGCATGCGTTTACTAGTTGGTATCAAAGTTTGGTGAAAGACCAGTGAGTGTATTGCTATGAAGTACTTTAAGGAAACATTCAGGTTTGAAGTGTGTCAGTCTTAGTCACTCTTTAACATACAAATTATTTTGTTTTTTGTTTTTGTTACAGAGCTTTCTGGGGTGCTGCATCAATGTCACGTTCTGGCATCAGAAATGGTCCATTTCATTCATCAAATGCAGTATTACATTACATTTGAGGTACACGTTTTCCATCCAACTTGTTAATACTGTAGTTGTACAGGCAGTCCTCAGACTTATGACAATTGATTCCTGAAAACCATGATTTAAGTCAAAATGTAACTGGGAACCAATTATCTTATTAAAAAAATGTTGTAAATGGGGGATTGGTTCCCAAACCAAGGCCTGATACCCTATTGTCACTAAAAAAAAAAAAAAAATACCCCAGTATTGTGTACTCCGGTCAATTTATAGATGAGTAATAGCTACATTAATGTATTTATATTGTAAATAGCAATCATACTGAATTGGAAGGACTTTTTTGAGGCAACTTTGCTGGACTTTTTGAAGGGCTCTTGGTTGGATTTTTTTGAAGGGTTCTTGGCTGGAGTCTTGGCTGCAGGCTTTTCTGGAGTCTTGTTGACCTTCTTAAAGAAAGTGTCCAAGGAAGTTTGGCAGATGTTCTCCAGGCAGATGAGTGACGCAGCGAACTTGTTTGCTGGTGGTGTATCGGATCAAGCATTGTAAAATTGAAACTGACGTCAAAGTTGAAACAGGGCATCAATTTATAAACATAAGTGTGAAACTTTGTAACTTAAAATGTTGTAAGTCGAGGACTGCCTGTATATAATTCCCAAGATGTTACTTGTCAAATCTTGAAAGTATGTAATCTAGTACATAAAAATAGCCCAATCCTGAATTATTGTCCCCAGATACTTGAATGTTCGTGGGATGAGCTCTGGAATAAGGTCCAGCAAGCACAAGACTTGGATCACATCATCGCTGCTCATGAAGTTTTCTTGGACACAATCATCACTCGCTGTTTGTTAGACAGTGACTCCAGAGTAAGCCTTTTCTTTTGTATAAAAATGCAGCTTTGATTCTAGCTTATACTTAAACGATTGAGCTAATATATTATTGAGCACTTGGAAGCTCTCCCACTGGTAGCAAGGCCGTATTGTGCCACGTGTTGAGCAAAGTCCCTACACTCAGTCTTATTTAGCTACCCCTTTCTGCAAGTGATTTGCTTCATTCATGTGAGTTTACCTGCCAGCTCTTGGCTGATGACTCAAACCTGTCACTCCATTCTAAATGTGTCTGTCTGTTTTCCTGTGCATCTTAGTCTGTTCTTTTATTCCTCATCTCCAAGATGTTTTGCTCTCCACTTTCAATTTTGGCTTATCAAAAGTGTACACCTTGCCCCTACCCTTTCTGTATCACTGATTACACCTGTATCATTTCCCTGTGTACTGATGCCAGATTCTGTTGCACATTTGTCTCCAACAAGAATATTCACAGTCTTCTAAGTCACCCTATGTGTGACATGTCCTCTCCAGATTAGATTGATGCCCCCCCTTCAAATATCTCCTGAAGAATCAGTTTTACCATGATGCTCATGGGAAACTACCAGCAGGTAAATGCTCAGTAAATGGCAAGTAGAGATTGTAAAATTTTCATACTTTCTGATCTGTGTAAGAGTGTGTTCTTATGACCACATCCCTCCTCTCTTCTCCCTTGTTCACTCCAACTGTTCAACCCACCTACATTTGCTGCTTGATCAAATTGCAGGCACATTGGGGTGGATTTTCTGTAGCACTTAACACACTGGGGGCCTCCAGGAACTACTGTAATACAAATAATTACTATTTCTTGGATGGTCCAATTAGCCACAAAAACTCCTTTTTGAATTGGGGAAAGGCAATTCCAGAGCAAAACCCTTATTGTTAGAAATGAAGTTCTTTCACTCAACCACACAGCTGCTCCTACCTGGTAAAAATTAAATAGAATCTTGTGGGAGATTTAGGAGGGACTGCAAAACAGTGCCTTCCTCCAACGCGTTTGAGGAGCAACCTTATTATTTTGGGCCTGTGGAGGGATTATAGCCCACCTGTTTTATTCTACTTCCCCTCTTCCCATCTCAACTCTGGGGATAATCATCAGTGAGAATATTGGGTTCCTTTTGCTTGCAGTTGGAGTGGCCATGCAGGTACATTAAGGTGTATTGCAATTGCATCAAAACAGGTTGGTTTATTTTGATCTTAGTAAGCAGCATATTAATGTTATGCCTGAACCTGGACCTTCTGTGTGCCTGTAACTCCAAGTGTATTGATATGTTTCTGGTAAATATCAAGAAATATAGTAATAGCATTTTATACAGTTCCATTTCGTTGCGTTATCCTTGTTTATGAACCTTCTCACAGGTACTTCTCAACCAGCTTCGAGCTGTATTTGATCAAATCATTGAACTTCAGAATGCTCAAGATACAATGTACAGAGCTGCTTTGGAGGAGCTGCAACTAAGGTTGCAATTTGAAGAGAAAAAGAAGCAGCGTGAACTCGAGGTACGGTAAGGTTGGCAGTGGATTGTAGCAGTTACTTGAGATGGGTGGAAGAGCAATATATATTTCAATTTATAAAAAACCTCCGTTTCATTTTTTTAAATATGTTTGTCTTTGAAACTTTAAAAAAAGAAAAAAAAGGCCAGAGCAAAAGTAAAACCCAGCAGCTGTCATGTACCTAAGCAGCAAGAGAGAAGAAATGCAAGCAAAATCCACTATACCTTCTAAATAACCTTTTATGGTCATTTCTCTCCATAGTGTTGATAAATATATCTTGCAAGGTATATTAAAGGCAAATTTTAAATTTTTCACTGTTTTAGTGTGAAGATTGGAATTTGTAAGGCTCTAATAAGCCCCTCGCAGGAAATGTTATTTCTGAAACTCAGGTCCTCTTCCTTGACCCCATATGGTTGTATTTGGAAGAGGTAGCAGTAGAAAGGAGTCAACGTATTTCTAAACAAAGCAAACATTATGGAATTCTTATCTGGTTATCTGAGTTTTATAAAGCCATCCTTGCTAGGTATCTCATAACTTGTCATCTAATGGGAATCGTCATTAACACCACTTTTAAAACCTTTGTTTACTCTATAACCATTGTGAGGTAAATTAATAGTCCCAAATAAAAGCTTAATATGCAGATTATATTGAATTTCCTTGTGTGAACATAGGATTATAGTGCCTATGACAGCAGAACGCATTAGTTTATCATAAATAACATCTCCCCTTGTTTCATAGGGTGAGTGGGGAGTAACGGCAGCAGAAGAGGAAGAAGAGAATAAACGGATTAAAGAATTTCAAGAATCAATACCAAAAATGTGTTCACAGCTGAGAATACTCACACATTTCTACCAGGTACCCTGCAGATTTGTACAATTTTAATTGAAAAATTAACTCGCCACTTTCACATCTACTTTCATTTATGTGGATCAAAACTAGCTACAATGTTATTGATGCTTGTCTATCACTCCATATTCAATTACTATTTCTTCTTGTTTTTTAAAAAAAGGGGTGGTGGCTAATCCTCAGTACACAAGTGTGAGCTCCACTGTAAGCATCAACTCCTAGAACAATTGATTGATCATAGGGAGCTACTGTTTACTACCAGTAGTTCACTCTGAGCATTGAGAGAGTACTTGTTTGTATAACAGTGTGTGATAGTCTCTTGTTAAATTTCATATCTTCTTTACAAATGGATCTAGTGTTTCTTTTTTAAAAATTAATCTTAACCAATGTAATCCCATTTGCATTCCATGCATTTTATTTTTTTGCAAATTAGGACAATTTCTGTAAAATGATTTAAATAGCTGCTCACTCGCTAGTTATTTCAATGCCCCTAAATGTTAGAAAAATTGCTAAGTGAGGGCATGCAGAAACAACTACTGTAGAAAGACTGACAAGAAGTTGTCTTCTAAATACCCCCAGGCTTCCATGTGTGCTGGGCAGAACTGCCCATGTGAAGCAGCACTGGGCTGCAACAGGTCAAGGAGGCACTTAGGACTTGAGCACAAGAAGGGGGAGGTGTTGCTGCTCAGAAATGCACAGGGCATTTTTACACATGCTCTGGGAGATATGTGGGAGGGGCTTTAATTAGCACCAATGAAAAGTACCTGGGCCTCATGCATCAACATCCCCATGCTGAAAAATGGCTTTAGTTCAAAGTACCCAGGCGCCACTTCAACACAAGGACAGTGTTGTACATAACACTACAGTCTGCTGGAGCATGTTAATTTCCATGATCCAGCAGACTCAAGTAATCGAGTCTGCTCTGACATGCTGGATTCCCAACCTGCACATGTATAGGAGCCCACAGTGACTGTTATGCTGTAACTCGTGTTTGAGCCTGTAGCTGTTTATATAAATAAGCTAAAATGCCTCAACTTTGACCCTGAATGAAGCAAGGATCATTAAGAGCGTGGTCTAGTCGGCTGGCACACAGTCATGGTGCAATGACTGTTTATGGTGCCTTTAACTCATTAGCAGTGTTCAGCTGATTGGTGCCATAAAGTGGCGAACCAGCCACAAAGGTATTCCACAAAACGTGTGGAGTATCTTTGTGACTTTGTTT